TGTGTGTGTGTGTGTGTGTGTGTGTGTGTGTGTGTGTGTGTGTGGTGAACAAGGGACGGGGCAGTGACATGACCGCATGCGTGATGAGAATGTTACGGCATCCAACCACGTACTTGAGATGCAGTTGCTGCGGAGAAAGTTTCCGGCAAAGACAACGTGGCACACGTCATGCGTTTGCGCGTGCAGTAGCGCCAGTTGGCCCTGAACCATCATTGTGATCATCATCACAATCATCATCATCATCGTCATTGTCGTCGTTGAGATAGGAGTGTGACGGTCATATGTGAAACAGGACAGGATGTCTTCGCACATGGCCTGGCGCACAATGAAACACACAGACACGCGCGCACATACACAATGAAACACACACAAGGAAACGCACACACACACACACACACACACACACACACACACACACACACACACACACACACACACACACACACACAGAACATCACACGCACCACGTTGTTGGTGATGGCGTCGAGGAGGCCCCTTGCGAGATCACACGGGCGCGCGTGCTCGCGGTCCTTTGGCCGAACCAACTTGCCAAGACTCGCAGCAACAATGTCTACGCATTGAAGATTGCCAGTCGGCGTAGCGGTAGAAGGATGTGAGTGAGTGAGTGAGCGTGCGAATTGTTGACAGCTCAGTCGTCCCTGTTTCTTCCCTTTCCTTTCTTCAATACACACACACGCACACGCACATGCGCACACACACATACAAAACCATGCACACACACATACAAAACCATGCACACACATGCACACACACACACATATACACACGAACACAGGACGTGTAACATGGGCGTCACCTGCAGAGAGGCCGTACTCCTCGTAATCGCCGCCGTAAATGTCACCGACGAGAAGATCGACACCAGAGGCTTCGCCCTCGCCAGCCAGCGCCAGTGCTGCAGGCACACGCGAGAAAGGGTGGCAGAGTCGTGGTGGGTGTTGAGTGAATGGCATGGACACGCTGGGAATGATAACCTTGCATGTGACGCACACACGCGCAAGAGGCAGGGGCATGCATGCCAATGGACGCACAATAGTACACGCACACAAACATGAGCACATTAGCACACCAGTAAGAAGGAACGCACAAGCTACCACACACGCGCAGACATGCACACAGACCTTCGTCAAACGACTTGCATCCCGTGAGCAGCGATGCGAGGCCAAAGAAGGTTGCGCCCCCAAGGGATGAGCCGCCAACACGCTCGTTCTGGCCGTCTTCGTTCACTTTCAAGATGCTCACACCACTGACGCCAAGTGTGAGGTGCGGACACACACTTACACGCATGCATTCTTTCTCTCTACCTCTCTCGCTCGCGCGCACGCACGCACACACACGCACGCACACACACACACACACACGCACACACACACACACACACGCACGCACACGCACGCACGCACGCGCACACACACACACGCACACACACGCACACACACACACGCACACACACACGCACGCACGCGCACCTGCCAATGTTGACGAGGAGGTAAGGGAAGATGCTCTTTTGTTCGTCCAAGCTGAGGTAGCTTCGAACTGCAGTGCCGTCAGGGCACCTGTGTATCCAGGGGTTAAGAGTAGCACCAGGCGTTGGTGGTGCAGTGGTGGGTTTGGTGCGTGCAACGGTGGCGACAGAGGGCAGCAGTGAGGCGATAGAGCGAGCATAACAGAAGACAGGCAAGCACACACACACACACACGCACGCACGCACACACACACACACACAACACACACACACACACACGCACGCACGCACGCACGCACACACACGCACGCACGCACACACACACACATACATTTGCTCGTGGCTGACTTGGAAGAGCTGTGGGGATGGGTGGTGGAGCACAAAGTTGATGCCGTCCACAAGACACTCCAGTTCGTCGGTGTGTGGCAGCTCGATGTGGAAGAGGTCGTAGATGGGCTTCTTGTACTTGCGGGCGCCGCCGCCAGTGCAGCAGAGGATGTGCTCGTGGTCCTCGAGCAAGTGCATGCTGCGAATGGCCTCAAGGAAGTCGTCCATCTTGCGGGTTTCGAAGCGCATGAACAAGATGCGCCCGCCGAGGCGTATGCTCTCAAACTCGAGGTGGGTGTCGCGCCGGCCTGTCTCACCATAGGTGAGCTCGTCCTGAATCAGCGCCTGGGCCTTGCGGCGGAACTCCCGCCAGTCCTCCGGGTCATCCTCCTGCTCAAAGGGCTCAAAGTAGCAAATCTTGCACAGGGTGCCTCCAATATCAATGCCACAAGCAAATGACCGCTTGGTGTGCATGTCAGTGACGCTTGCACGTGGCGTGTGCACCCTCTGCGCCGGCTGCTCCTGCTGCTCCTGCTGCTCCTGCTGCTGAGGTGGCGCTGAGTTCCCACTGTGCTCGCTCTGTGCTTCTCGCTGTTGTTGTTGTTGTTGTTGTGGCTGTGGCTGCTGGTGGTGGTCCATGCTTGCTGTCTCACCTTGGTGTGTGTGTGTGTGTGTGTGTGTGTGTGTGTGTGTGTGTGTGTGTGTGTCTGTGTGTGTGTGTGTGTGTGTGTGTGTGTGTGTGTGTGTGTGTGTGTGTGTGTGTCTGTGTGTGTGTGTGTCTGTGTGTCTGCTTTCTTCGGCTATCCTCCTCTCTCTCTGTCAGTGCAAGCAAGACAACAAGGGATTTGTGTGCACGATATGTTTGCATGTCGTTGTGTCGCAGCTGACTGTCCTTTCAAGCTTTCAATCATCGTCATCGCGCATGCACGTCTGAGTAGGTGCTTCGCAGCCGCATCGTACAACGTTGCACTCGCACGTTCTCTCACTCGTTGTCGTTTGTTGTTGCTGTGTGTTGCAGAGCAACAGTGTACTTAGTGTTGGATGTGTGTGTGTGTGTGTGTGTGTCCGCACATCATCAAGGACGGAGGCAGACACACTTATTACACACTTGTCAGCAGCATTGTAGCAACAACAGCAACAACAACAACAACAACAACAACAACAACAAAAGAAATCAATCATGCCACGAAGGAAAAAAAAAGGCATGGCGCACAACACGCAAGAGACGAGTGGACGATGATGATAACAGGGTGGCGGCAGAAGAGCAGAAGAAGAAAGGAAAGAGCAAAGACACGCCCATCCCCTCACTTGCCGCTGACGTATGGGTTGACGTCTGTGGTCTTGAGGGTGGACAGGGTGTGGTTGACGTCGCGGTGGTTGGCCTCGTCTGCACGCACGGCGAGCAAGACATCGCGCATGAGCGCATCGTCAGCCAGGCCCCAGTATGTCTTGGCAATGTCCGGGGCGGGCTTGTTGGTCCATGTGGGCATGAGGCCGTCGTCCAGCGCTTTGATGGCGTCTGTGTATGTCTTGACAGCCTCCTCCTCCAGGTAGCCGACAAAGCGGTGGCACGTGCGTGGGGACGCGAGGTAGCCGAGAAAGTACAGGTTCCAGAAGACGCCCTGGGCAGCGAGGACCATGCCACGGAAGAGCAAGCCAGGCTCCCTCAGCTGCATAAACGTCAGCAAGTGCATGCGCTCGTTCTCAGCCTCCTCCAGCAAGGTGTGGATCCAGCTGAACACCAAACAACACAGCGAGCATTGGTGTTGCGTTGGTGTTGCGTTGGTGTTGGCGGGGAGTGGAATGAGGGAATGGTTGAAAACAACAACAACAAACAAAAAAACAAAATACAGTAACTATCAAATGTGCATTTGACTTGCAGATGGGCGTCAGCACAAATCGCGGGACGCCACCCGACACTGCAGACCATTTATTTCAGCAGCGGTGCACACTCACCCGTGATCACGCTTCATGAGTCGAAGGGACTTGAGGTGGCGAAGGCTTCCTGCAACCATACCTGGGATGCCTGCTACGGTCTCCAAGAAGATGACACGGCGCAGGAACTTGTGCTCGTTGATGGGCCCAAACGCATAGCCACTGTGGGGGCAAGAAGAGGGTGAGTGAGGGTGGGGTAGGGTTGAGGGAGTGAGTCATTGTATGTGGGTGGGCAAACGCAATGGTGGTGCGAGTCGGGACTTGGGGTGGGTGTCGGATCATGGTGAGGTGAGCAGTTGTGAGGGGATGCGAATAGTATCCCTTGTTGCGCTTGCTTTGTTGCTTGCATGCATGCACGCACGCATACGTGCGATGAGCAGAACAAACAACAAATGGGTACTGACCTGAAGATGTCAAAGCCCCTGCGGATCATGCGAATGAGGTAGTAGGCGACGCGGTCATGGCGGTCCTTGGGATCGATGTGCGTCACCTTCACGTCCTTCACTTCCTCCTCGCTCCACACCTTGTTGTCCACAGGGTTGACCCACACTGTTTGATTGGATGCAACAAGTTAGAGACACGTAAGATAAAGATGATGTGCGATTTCGTGTAGATGATGAGCGATTTTGTGTTTAGTCGGGGAGAGAGGATGAAAGGATTGGGAGCAGATGCATGGCTGAGCAACTCTGATGATTTCACAGTGCCTCGCAAACGTGCATGCAGGCAACTCAAAGGGAGAGACCAAGCAAGCGAGCCAAGAGAGAAACCGAGCAAGGAAGCGAGAAAGGAACTCAGCAAGGAAACAGGCACACACACGCACACACTTGCGCACATTCACACATGCACGCACACATTCACACATTCACACACACACATTCACACATTCACACACCCACTCTCTTTATCTCCCTCGCACCTGGGTTGCCGTGATCGTCGACCTTGCTGAAGAGCGGATGAGGGTTGTTGGAGCGGCGGAAATGCTGCACAGAGACGTCGTGGACTTTTCCTTCCAACTGTTCGTTGTCCTTGGAAGTGTGCACGCCGCGAACTTGACTGGTGGCAGCAAGCGCGTTGCTGGCAGTAACAACGCGCACGCACGGGCGCCGCAGCAGCACCTGCTGCAGCAGCAGTGAACGCGATGCTCTCAGAAGCACGGTCATCGCTTGACGTGATGGGTGGAGTAATGGGAAGGGGGGATGATGGAGTAATGGGAAGGGGGGAGACGCGGTTCGTCGGTCGATTGGTTCGTCGGTCGATTGGTTGTTGGTAAGGGGGGAGGGGGGATGAATGAAGGATCAGTGATTTGATGAGCGTTGGAAAATGCAGCTGCAGCACAGCGGACTTCACCTCAGCAGTGCTGCGCTCTGACCAATGTTGTTGCTTGCGTTCGGGTATTGCATCACGCAGATGCGTTCGGTTGCGTTGGGGCGCCGTGCAAACGCGTGCAATCGTGGCACATGATGTAAAGGGCATCTCGTCTGCCCAATCCAGCGCCACTGAAATGACGAGTGACAACGACCATCAAGGACAGAAACGGTTCGTCAGCCGGTTCGCACAGCACGCACAACCGAAAACAAGCAACAATGATGGGTGGTTCTTGCTCGTGCGGCCTCCGCACACACCACCACACCCACAAGACGCTGACTGGCTGCCTTTGGTGAAAATTTTCACACAAGCACGACTGCAACATCAACATCATCATCAACATCAGCGGGTGGTCGCCGTCGTCATCCTCCTCCTCCTCGTTGTTGTCAGGTGTGTGTTGATATGTGAGTGTCGTGTCGTGTCGTGCATGTTGAGGGAGTGGTGGGAAACACGAAAACGAAACACCCACCCACACACCATTCAAACAACGACTTCTGTGAGTTGGTTGCTGCTGCTGTTGACATGATTGATGTGCCCATCAACAATGAATGCGCGTCCGTCCTGCTTTGCTTGCTCTGTGTATGGATGGATCAATCAATCGCAACAACACCCCCCACCACCCATCCACCCATCCATCCACCCATCCACCCGCACCACAACGCTCAAAGCAATGCAACGCCACGCGAGCAACCGCTAACTGTTTCCGCTCCCGCTCCCGCTCCCACCCCCCACCTGGACTTGCTATCTTGCCCCACGCGCACACACGTCCTCACCTTTGTTTGTTTGTGTCTTTGTCCTCCTCCTCTCTGCGCCCTCTCTCGACTCGCCCTCGTCCCTCTCCCCTCCTTCCTTCTCTGTCTGTCTGTCTCCCCCTCCCTCTCTCTCCTCCCTTCTATCTTTGGAATAGCCAACCAGAAGGCAAACAACGCCACTACCACCGCCGCCACACACACACACACACACACACACACACACACACACACACACACACACACACACACACACACACACACACACACACACACACACACACACACACACACACACACACACAAACACACACACAAACACACACACAAACACGACCCGCCAATCGACCGCCGGCCACCTTCCCTTCATAGAGTCGCTCAACGAAGACAGCTGCCGCCCCAACACCAGCAGCGAACGTGACAAGGACAACGCAGGTACATCGGCAGCCCACCAGTGCAGTCGGCAAGCACATGGCGACAGCCAGCACAACCGTGATGCTGGCGCTCGTGCTTCCTGTGGTCTTGCTCGCATGCGCGGGGCCAAGCAAGGCGCAGGATTGGCGCGTGCCGTTGCCAAGCCAGGACACCCCGTACGATGACCTCTTCCATGTAGGACCTGTCATGTCGTTTACAGAGAGCATTGTCTACTGCTCCGACCCAGAGTACCAGGACCGCACCATTGCGCGCCTCGACGACCCGGCGCAAGTGGAGCAGCTCAATGTGCTTCGCTACACTCGTGGCACCTTTCCCACCAGCGGCACTGGCGGCAACAGCCCCAGCACAGGCGGTGGCAGCTACTTCTGGTGTGTGTGTTGTGTGTGTGTGTGTGTGTTAAATGTGTGTGTGTGCGTAAATGTGTGTGTGCATGTGTGCATTGTCTCTTTGTGCTTGTGTGCGTTGTGTCTCTTTGTGCTTGTGTGCGTTGTGTCTCTTTGTACGTGCACATGCTGCATTTGTCTGCATGTCCATCGCGTCTCCCCTCGTCAGCATCACGCCGCTCTCTCCAACACAATACTCTCTCACACACACGCGCCCAACCGTGACTGTGCCGCATCTGGCACTTGTTTGAACTGCGTTCAATCTCGCGCATGATGCGGGGCGCATGGTACAGGATCCCCATTGTGGTGCAGGGCTGCGTGTGGCAGTGGTTGGCCGATGCAGCCATTGTCGAACACGTCCTCTTCCAACAGTTTGTTGACTGGGTAAGAGGCAGAGGGAGAGTGTGTGTCTGTGCGTGCGTGTGTGGATTGTGCGTGTGTATGCTTATGTGTAAATTTGTCTGTGTGCGTGTGTGCGTGTGGTCAGTCGGTTGCATTTGTGTGTTTGCGCCTGTACCCATGTGTGTCCTCCACCTGCAGATGAGTCTTCACATGCATTCACGTACACGAGCGTACATTCGCTCACGTTACTGCGTGTACAACGGCCACTCACGACTTGTCTTCACGTCACATCACACGCACGCACACACACACACACACACACACACACACACACACACACACACACACATATACACACACAAACAAACACACACACACACACAGCACCAGCAGGAGTGCCACCCAGATGTGTTCTAACTATGGTGTTCTCGGCAGCGCCCGGTCGCCTGAATTTTCTTTCCGTACGTCACCAGCAGCTTTG